CACCAAAGTTTTTAAGCTTTTAAATTTCAAGCACACATTAGAGACTTTGAATTTCGTGGAAATAACTCGGAAAACTTAAACAATTTTCCTGTATATCATACAAAAAAAATCGGTCACATTTCTGACAGATTTGTAGAAACTACAAGGGAAAAAATTTACAAGTAAATAGTTAAAAATTTATTATTTAATTATGTTTTGTGATTTTATTAGAGATAAATATATATGTAGATTTAGATACATGAATAAAAATAGAGCTAATAATTAAATTTGTTTATGTTTTTCTTCTTTTTTTCAAATTGTGACCTGTGAAAATTCTTTGGGGTAATGGGAAAATTGTACCAGCCAGCAAAGTTTCGTTACCTCGATTATGGCTTTTCTTATTTTTTTGAAAATTAAACAAACATTTTTTTTTTGTAAACTTACTTTTTTGTTCTTAATTTCTAATTAATTATAATTAAAGATAAAAGGGACCTAAAGAAACAAATTCTAAGTTATAATTATCAAATTTTGGATTAATGCACAAAGATATTTAAGGCCAGGTTCCTCCAAAAAACGTGTTTTATTCAAAGAAATTTTATTTATATTACAAAAAATATTGATAAATCAAAGTTTTTAAAGATTAAAAGAGATATAAAAATACTAATTCAAAAATAGTTATTTATGATACAAGTGCGTAAATCACACGAGTATAATCAAATTTACGCACGTGTATCATACAACATTCTCTCTAAATCTGAATTAGTAAAAATGTTTACTAATTTAAATTAGTGACTCACTTTTTGCTTTAGAATTAGTTAAATTTTACTGATAATTCGTAAAATTTTTGCTAATTCAGAAGCAAAAAGTGAGTCACTAATTCAGATTTAGAGAGTTTTTTGCAACACCCACCTCTAAAGTTAAGAACCTATTATGAAGAATTTCAACTCTCTATTAGAATAATTTCGACTGCATAGAATTAAAAAAAATCAATCGAAAATCAGGAAAAATATCATTAAGCAGTAGTGTAGTATAAATTTAAAAGTAAAGTTCTTTTTTTAATTTGTGGTTTTGTATGGTTCTTAAACAATCCTTATATTATGTGAGAAAAATTTTGGTGCGTAAAGTAAATTTCACTGTAAGTTGGTATTAATTTAATACCAACTTTAGGTACTAAATTGTTATTTGGTTCTATTTTGATACCTAAAATCGTTACTGTTTTAGTACTTTCTTTTTACAGTTTTAAAAAGAGCTTCTTTACACACACTTTTCGGTGTGTAAAATTTAACTTTAGAGGTTAGTGTTGCAAAAAATTTATTTTTTTATTTTTTTAAAATGGCGCCTCCTAAAATGGCTGCTGAAACACGTCCTTTTTGTTGGTGGGTGACAGGATAACTCAAAAACGAATCATCTGAAAGCAAAAATCAAAACGGTTTCTTATTCTATATCACATTGGCTATGGTCGGTACTACAATGAAACATTTTCCCAAAAAAAAAATGTATAAATAAACTAAGTTTTTTACATTACCTTTTGTAAAAAAAATATATTAAAAATTTAAGGAAATCATTATATTAGTGTTTTAATAATTTTTATTTTTGGAATTTCACCAGTATTCCCGGGCGAAACACAAAATTCACTAGATTCAAAAAAGGCACTAGTCAGGGCCTCAACAATTTTCCTAGTTTAAAAAAATGTTAATTGACGTTTTGGAACTGTATTCAGTTCCCTCTTCAAAATTTATTGAGACAATATGTTACAATTGATGTTTTTTTATCACGTTTGCTTAAAATAAAGGTTGATTTTATGATTTTTTTAATAAATTACTTTAAAGAATTTACTGAGATGTAAAAATTTAAAAAAAAAGAATATTGTTCTTTTTAATCACAAACAGAAGGTAGTTCCAGTTTTAATATTCAAGAAGTATATTAAGTAAAAGATCCTCGTAAGTCTGCATGGCTGCGTGGTCAGAGTATAAGCCTCGCGTCCCAAGGGTGTTGGGTTTGATTCCCCTTGCGTGAAAGATTTTTTAAAATTATTCTTCAGTGTTTTATATACTGTCTATGTTGTAATTTTAAGTAGAATTTCATTTCCTCTAGAAAGGGCACACATATATAAATTTATTTTAAAATTAAGCTATTATAAACTGAGTCATAAATTAAATAAAATTATCAAAATTTATTATCTTTTGTATATATATATATATTTAAATTAAAGAATATATAACTTTTTTTTTCTTCGTGTGCATGCGGTACTATTATATAAGAAATTGCGAGAGGGATTTTTACATATACAAAGCATGTCTCTATGTGTGTTTCAAATATAAAAAAAAAGAAAAAAAAAGAGTTAGGGGTGGGGGAGGTGAGTGTATGCACAGGTCTCTTTTCATTCACGAAATATATACACATGTATACTGTATATATAGAGCGCAAGGAAATCCTTGTGTAGTCGCGCAGCTTTGGAATCCGGGTCAAGTGGCAGGGTGGATGTGAAATTTTTATGCGACTCGCATGTTATGAAGCGACTGATGACTTGACGAGAAGCGAAACAGGTACTTGATGTTGAAAAGAATTATATACCCAAGTGCCACGTGCGGTGGTGCTCACAATTTAGAACTGTGATTAAAGAAAAGGGAAAAAAATTCAGTAATGAACATTGTATATACATATATATATATATTAGGGGCTATACACCCATGCACGCTTCTCGCGTCAACACCTGTTATTTTCCACTTTAATGCTTAATTTTTGAAAAGCTTGCAAGTTGTAAAATTATTAAAATTTTATCTTAATTTTGAGGTTATGTTCGTTTCTTAGTTAGGGGAATTTGAAGAATTAGAATTTTCATTATATGGTATTTCATTTCTCATAATGATTTTTGAGCTTAATTTTTATTTGTTCGAATTGGTATTTTACAGAATTTTCATTAAGGGTATGTGGGAACCTCCCACGTGACCTAGTATGGAAAAATGTGTTTTGGTAGTATACATTTCACTCTAAAATGAGAAAAGATTTTTGTCTAAAATTTTGAGGGATGATAGATTAGGGTACAAAGAATCTCGCTGTTCTCCGAAAAATACATAATTTTGCGTTAAATTATTAAAAAATGATGTTTAAAAAGTGTCATTTTTAAACGAAAATGAAAACAAAGATGGCGGCGCATACACAGACGTTGCTTGAGTGTGTCAGTGCTCCAGTAAACAGCGCCAATTCGAGCTTTTGGCCGCTGAATGAACTATGATATAATACATTATTTTACTATTTATTGCTTTATTTTTATTATTTTTGCGTTAAGTTATGGTAAATGAATAGAACAGCGAGATTCCTTGTACCGAACAAAATCATTTCTCCAAATTTTAACCCGAAATCATTTTTTATTTCAGAGAAAGTTTCATACCACAAAAAACGTCCTTTGCCCACATACCCTTCTCTTGAATTTTAAGGTTATGTTTCATCTATGACCTTGAATCCTAGAGTCCTCGGACCTTAAATTTTGAGGTTATGTTGGTTTTTATACTAACATAGGTAGATATATTGGTTATTCCACGTCAATTTGTCGCTGGCTTTGAGGTTGATATCAGAACTAAAATAAAAATAAAACAATATTAGTAATATCGTAATAATTACTATTATTATTGTTATTTTTTAATTATCATTATTATCATTTTTATTATCATTATTATTTTTAAGTAATATTATTAATAGATAGTAGATACTATTATATATTAATAATATTAATAATTATTATACCTACTCTGCCGTGCATAACTGAAATACCGTAACTTGTTTTTTTTTCTTAGGTTATGTTGCTCCTTATGTTTCTTCTTTAAAAAAAAATATAGAGATTAAAATTGTGGAAAATTTAATTTGAATTTGATAGAAATAATTATTTCTACTCTTTGTAAATATAATTTTACATAATTTTAATTTTTATTTTTAAAAAAAAAAGAAACATAATGGGCAACATAACCTAAATAAAAAACAAGTTACGATATTTCAGTATTGCACGGTAGTACTAATTAATGTACTAAATACTAATGTATTTATTGTTATTATTATATTATTATTACTACTATTAATTTAAAAAGAAAAAAAAAATTGTGAATCATAATTTTTTTTCAGTTTCATTAATCAACGCTTGTTCTACTTATCCCCATACCTTTGCCAATATTATATCGTACATTGTGTTGTATCCCTTTCGTCTGATCGAAACCGGCTTTTATCACTTATTTTTCTACTACCGCATCAGTGTAATCAGACCCGTACAATTTGCTTAATGTATACATATTGTACATACAATAATGCACTTAGCGTAATTTTATAGAACAATTTAATTATATACCTTAATTTAAAAAGTAATTTTCTTCTTTTTTTTTATTATACAAATTTTTATTTTAATGCAATTCTATTTGTATAATTAAAAATTTTACCGGTGAAAAAATTTCAAAGTTTATTAAAAATAAATTAATAAATTATTTTATTAATAAAAAAAAGTATTTTCAAATGAAAATTTTATTAACTATTATTAAATTATTATATTTATATATCATGTGATAATTTTTTTTTTTCTATTACTGAAATACTGGGAAAATATAAAAGGGAATTGTAAATAGGTGATAAATGTAAATAATATTATACAGAAAAAGATGCATTATCATAAAATAACTGTGTATAACACACCTAATATGTTTACAAAAGAAAATAGTCGTACTGCGCATTTGGTAATAATTTAGTAATTAAATTGAGTGATTTTTGAACATTACAAAAACAATACAACAATTTTCAAATTAATCGTATAACTGATTAAGTTGCACAATATATTATTATTACATATTTATTTCTCTATGATTAGTTTTTAATTTTTTTTTTTTTTTTACTTAAATTATAATAATTATTATTATTTGTAATTTATCATATATATTTTTATGGTATATTTTTGAATAATAATTCTCTTTTTTTTGAAAGTGGAACGTTTCACACTTTTTAGTACGAAAAGCATTTCCTCACCAGTGATTTTTTTGTTTCAGGAGACAGTAACACAGGGTTACACAAACGCAGCATATATGAACACAATGGAGTCGCCGTTTGTTCACAAAAGAAAGCACTTTGTATTGCCACCGTTGTTTTCGGCATCCTCTTTGCCATATCACTCATCATTGCATTCGCGGGACCACAGAATGGTAACTTTCAATTTTCTATATACACATCTAACGAGTTTGCTTCAAAAATCACACACACACACACACACACACAAAACCACATATACACACTTTTCAAAACTGCAAATTCAAAGAAATTTTATCTCTCGCATCATATTGCAAGCTATTATACATTATGTCTCCATTCTATTCGCTTCAAAATTTCAAATACTCTTTGTAAATAATATTTCTATTTCAAAACAAAAAAAAAATTTCAAAAAATAACAATAATGTTGGGCAAATTTAAAAATTAAAATTGTTATAAAAATTAAATACTCCATCTGTTTAGTAAATGTTTTTAACGTTGCAAAAATTAATTATTTTGAACCGCATGAATATGTTCTAAAAATAATTAGTTAGAATTTTCATTTTATGGAATTTCATTTGCATAATGATTTTTGAGCCGAATTTTTAATTGTTCGAATTAGAAGTTTGCAGAATTTTCATAAAAACGATTTTCTATATTAAAGAATTTTTATATAACCGAAAATTCACCTCACAGAATTTTTATTTGCTCGAATTTTCATTTAACATAATAGGCATTTTATGGAATTTTTATTGGGTACAATTTCATTGCATAGAATTTTCTTTCAGATAAATTTTCAATTGTTCAAATTATTATTTTGATATAATTTCCATATAGAGTCAGTTAGGGTAAATGGGGATAAGAGGTTTTGGAGATTAATTTTCAGTTTTAAAATGAAGTTCAACGTCAATATTTTAACCTCAGATCACCTGCAAGAGGTTTTGAGTATTGCCAAGCTTTTATATTGACAATTGGCAGCAAGATAAAAAAAAAGTTATCGCTCAAGGGTAAGTCCACGTCAGAAATATCAGAATCTGCAAGTGGTTCTTCGATTTTAATGATACTTGGTAAAATTAGTGCTTTATATAAGAGCAATGTGTGAGTAAAAGGAATCACAGTAAACTTGGTTGTATCTTTTTCTATTGCAACGTTTTGATGCACATAAGTTATATCAAAAAGAGATCGTTTTGTGTATCATTTTTAGAAATGATACACGAAACGGTCTCATTTTTTGATGCAAAAAATTGAATCAATTTATATCAATCATGGCCGAATTGAATCGACTCAAAATTAAACGAATTTTTTTCAGATATTTTGGTAATAGTACAATTGCGGAGACCATTTCACTATTTAATTTGAAAATGAAAATAACAGAAAATCAAAGACAATGTGCAATTCGATAATTAAAAAGTGACAGCTTATAAACATAACCTAAAATGCATGAGAAAAAATTTGTCGATAAAATCAATATAGCCGAGCTTTTTAGAAGGTAGATTCAGAAAAAATTTAAAGAAAGAAAATAGATGAGTGCTGCCTTCTAAAAAGCTCGGCTATATTGATTTTATCGACAAATTTTTTCTCATGCATTTTAGGTTATGTTTATAAGCTGTCACTTTTTAATTATCGAATTGCACATTGTCTTTGATTTTCTGTTATTTTCATTTTCAAATTAAATAGTGAAATGGTCTCCGCAATTGTACTATTACCAAAATATCTGAAAAAAATTCGTTTAATTTTGAGTCGATTCAATTCGGCCATGATTGATATAAATTGATTCAATTTTTTGCATCAAAAAATGAGACCGTTTCGTGTATCATTTCTAAAAATGATACACAAAACGATCTCTTTTTGATATAACTTATGTGCATCAAAACGTTGCAAAGATTTGATGCAATTTTTGGTCTCAATTTGATACTTTTAGGAAAACTGTGTAATTTTTAAAATATCTAAAATTGTAGGAGTTATATCACTTTTAATTTTGATACTGAATTTTTTTCTTTCCTTTATATCTCGGTCAATTTTCAACCGATTTTGATGAATCAAAAACGATTTTTTTCATAAAATTACGTATTTTCAGAAAATTTTAAAATAAAAATAAAATTTTGTTATTTAAATAGAAAAAAGTAAAAAACAAAATTTCTTTTAAAATTTTTTTTCAATTTCGACCTCTTTTTTTTAATTTTTAATTTTGTAATAATATTCCTTTTTATTTTATCTTTAATTTAAAAAAAAATTCATCCTGGAGACTTTTTGAGATCTCGTGATATCGTCCTTTAAGTATTATAAGTCTTTGAAAACCGCAGGACTTGCTTCTATAATTACTTTCATTTGTTTGTTGAAATTTTTTATGGTTATGAATAACTATTTGTTTTAGAATCCTCTAAAAGAAAGCGCTAAGAACTTCAGCTACAATTTCAGGTTGCATTGTTAAGGTTTCATTACAATTTATTTTAAATTATAAATATTACAAAAAATAAAAACTTTGCTTCAAATCTATTAATAAAATATTGATTTGCTTGAATTTTCACTTGTTTCAGTCAAGTAATTTAAAAATAAAAACATTATTACGCGAAATTTTCTAGTTTGTAACAATAATATTATAAAACAAATGAAAGTAGAAACACAAATCTGGATCCTAGTTTTCTTGAGATGTGGATATTTAAAGAACGATATCACGAGATCTAAAAAAGTCTCCAGGATGAATGTTTTTTTAAATTAAAGATAAAATAAAAAGGAATATTATTAAAAAATTAAAAATTAAAAAAAAGAGGTCGAAATTGAAAAAAAAATCTAAAAGAAATTTTGTTTTTTACTTTTTTCTATTTAAATAACAAAATTTTATTTTTATTTTAAAATTTTCTGAAAATACGTAATTTTCTGAAAAAAATAGTTTTTGATTCATCAAAATCGGTTGAAAATTGACCGAGATATAAAGGAAAGAAAAAAATGCAGTATCAAAATTAAAAGTGATATAACTCCTACAATTTTAGATATTTTAAAAATTCCTTTTACTCACACATTGTTCTTATATAAAGCTATAATTTTACCAAGTATCATTAAAATCGAAGAACCACTTGCAGATTCTGATATTTTTGACGTGGACTTACCCTCAATGCATAAAAACTTAAAAATCAAAGTCAAACTTTTTCAGTATTTTGTCGAGAATTTCGAAGAAAACAGACTTAAAAATCATAACAAATTTTTTCCTTATTCCTTATGACTCCTATAACAGAAATTCACTTGAATTTTTGATTTTTGTCAATTTGGTTAATAATGACAAGCTGTCCCCATTTACCCTGAGTTTTCAAATTTCTGGTGTAAATGGGGACAGCTTGTCATTATTAACCAAATTGACAAAAATCAAAAATTCAAGTGAATTTCTGTTATGGGAGTCATAAGAAATAAGAAAAAAAATTTGGTATGATTTTTAAGTCTGTTTTTTTTCAAATGCGAGACAAAATATTGAAATAAAAAAAAAAATAAAAAAAATAAATAAATTTCAATTGGTGCAACTATTATATATCTACTACAAATTTTTTTCAAGTTTTTTCATCCATTAATACAGTAATATACTTAAGAAAACTTTTTTCTTAAAACTTTCTTAGAAACTATGCTGTCCCCATTTACCCCAAATTTCATGAAATTTTCTAAATTTTGGGCTAAATGGGAACAGTCAGTTTCATGCGTTTAAAGCTTATCTAAATTATTTTCTGCTGCATAAAATTAATCCTGGGAATGTAAATAACAACTTTAAAAAAAAATAAACCCGCAAATATTACCTTTTAAAAAAGGAAGAAACTTACGTGATTTGTGAAAAATAGCGATTTTGTCCCCATTTACCCCAACTGACTCTAACCAATTTTTTATACTACAGAATTTTTACTTAAACGAAAAATCATTTAACAGAATTTCAAATTGATAGGATTTTCATTTGTCCGAAATGCAAATGGGCGAACAAACAATGGACAGAAAGATTTCGGCACGATTTTTTAAATCAACCAATCACAATTTTATGGATAATTTTTGATTGGTTGCGATTTTAAAAATCGCGCCAAAATCTTTTTGTCGATTGTTTGTACGGACATTTTCAATTAAGGACAAATGAAAATTCTATCAATAAGAAATTCTGTTAAGGCCATGTGGGCAAAGCACGTTTTTTTGTCGTTTAAAACTTTCTCTGAAATAAAAAATAATTTTAGGTTATTTAAAATTGTTCGAATAAAAGAAAATCAAAGAAACAGACCTTTTGTTTCAACATATTGATATCCATAAGTCACGCTTATGAATTTTATCATAGTTCATTCAGCGGCCACTCGCTCGAATTGGCGCTGTTTACTGGAGCACTGACACACTCAAGCAACGTCTGTGTATGCGCCGCCATCTTTGTTTTCATTTTTGTTTAAAAATGACACTTTTTAAACATCATTTTTTAATAATTTAACTCAAAATGATGTATTTTTCGGAGAACAGCGAGATTCTTTGTACCCTAATCTATCATCCCTCAAAATTTTAGACAAAAATCTTTTCTCATTTTCGAGTGAAACGTATACTACCAAAACACATTTTCCCATACTAGGTCACGTGGGAGGTTCCCACATAACCTTAAACTAGATTTTTTAAAATAAAAATTTAGGTACAGAGAAATTCAGTAAAACAAAAATTAGGTACCTAAAAGTTCTGTTAAGTATATAAATTCGATTAAAAAGAAATTCTGTTAAATGTTAATTAGAAAAATGATAATTTGAGTCGCCGGAAAGTAAAACCACACATAAAATTCTGACGGCCATGTTAATTCAATGGGAGTCAAAATTTTATGTGTGGTTTTACTTTCCGGCGACTCATTTGTCTAAAAAAAATTATATCTAATAAAATTCTCTAAAATTTAAAACCGTTTTACAATTTTGGAAATCGTATTAATTTATTCGCTAGAATGAAGTAAAAAGAAACTTTGAAACATTGAAGTTTCAAAGTCAAAAAGTTGAAAAACCAATTTAAAAAAATATATTCTTACCTATTTACAAAAAACAATTTTTTTTTATTTCATTCTAATGATTCTAATAATCGGTTATTTGACTAATATCAAATAAATATTTACTTGAACCTCATTAACTGGGTTCGAATCAATAATTTCTGCATTTGAAATATCATTTATTGATTCTTAATAATTACTTTTTATTATTATTTTTATTTCATATAGATAGGTAGTATAATATATTTATTTATTAATAAATACCGATTATTATTATTATTTCAGTTAATTAATTTGTTTTTTATTAGCTACAACACTGTTAATGAGTTTTTAATTTTGAGCATAGATTGAATGCATTAAATTTTTTAAAAATCAAGTGTCATTGCCGCGAAAAGTAGGTTGAACAATATTAAATATTGATTAATAAATAATTATATTTGCAGACTGCCCTTGTGCTGGAGAAAAGCCAGCGAATCTGGAAATCAACGAGGACGAGGAAGGCGGTGAGCTGCTTGCAACGAACGGAGAGGTAAATAATTATAATAGAATTTATGATATAGAATTACGTACATATATTTATTTCTGATATTCACAAATTAACTTAATTAAATTTTCCTGTATAATTATTCAAAATGCATTTTCGGCGCGAGGTAGAAAATTTGTAATGAATTATTTATATATAATGAAAAATTTAACACTATTTTTAATTTATTTATTTATTTATTTATTATACATAATTAATTTTTGAGAATTAAAAAAATTAGTTTATTAAAATTGAAGAATAGAAAAATTTGCTCAATTAATCAATATAAAAAAAGTATAAAGAAATTTGTTTAATTATTATATAATAATAAAATGCTTGGTCTGTCCTTCTGTCCTAAAACTTAAAGTTGGCCTTTTTTGATTTCACGTGTTTTTTTGAATAGTAATCTTATGACGTGTCAAATTTTGACAATTCTTTTTCTCATTTTTGCCAAAGTTGTATAATTGTGTTTCCAAATTTCGGAATAAGTTTCTTTAAAATTCCAAATTCGAAAATTCGTTTACCAACAAAATTTTTTTTAAAGTTGTATATTGATTCAAAAATTGTATACAACTACAACAAATTTATGATGAGAAAAAAGATGCACCAGGAAATTTCGTACAAGATAGTAATTTGAAAAAAATTTTTAAAAATTAATTTTTAAGGTACCAGGGGCCAACGAATACCTATTAAATATTAATTATAAAAACACAGGCCTCGAATCAACTTAAAGACACAAAAAAAGTCGATTTAGTCGATTTGTATTCCAAAAAAAAGTGGATTTGTTTTTTATTTTAACAAAAATATTTTACAGATTTTTAAATAAAAATTTTTTTTTAATAATAATCCTTTTCGAAGGGTTAAAGTTGAAATTTTTAGAAATAATTAAATTTCAAAAGATATTGTTAATTTTCAAACAATTATTAAATTTTATAGAACTAAAAATAATTTATCAAACAATTTTTGGAAAACATTTTTTAAATTTAATTGAATTTTCAAAGATTTAAAATTGAGATTTTTGAAATTAATTGAAACTTTAAGTGTTTTGTAATTAAAATTTTAGATGATTTCACTAAAATTTTATTAGAAAATGCGGACAAAATAGAATAATTTGAAAATCATTTTTAATTGAAAAATGGTTTCAGATAGTTGAAATTTCAAAGAATATTATTAAAATAGTTAAAAATAATTGAATTTCCTTAGAGTTATAATTGAAATTATTAAATTTCAAAAAAAAAAATTTCGATGGAAAATTTTAGAAATAATTAAATTTTAGATGCTTTTAAATTCAAATTATTGAAAATTCAATTAATTTTGAATTCAAATTTTTGAGAATAATGAAATTTTATTTGATTTTAAATTTGGAAAATAATTGAATTTCAGTTCATTTTGAATTGAAAATTTTCGGAAATAATTGAATTTGAATTGAAATTTTGGATAATAATTTAATTTAAGTTCATTTTTGATTGAAAATTTGGATAATTAATTTTGTATAGAAATTTTAGAAAATAATTGAATTTTATTTCATTTTAAGGGGAGGGACCGCTGAAATTTTAACACATCAAAATTAAAGCTGTTTAAGGGTGGTCAATTTTTTTTCTGACAATATTAATTATTTAAATGTATAATATATCATGAAAAATTGAAAAACTATAAATTTGTTAATTTTTAAAATCAAATTCAAAATTCTCGAAAATTTAAAATTTAAACTTCTCTCACAATTTTAATTATTTTTGACTGCCGATTTTTTTATACGCTTTTCTGATGATTTTAAACAATCAAGCGTATGGATTTTGAAAAATTTCAATTTTTTCAAAAAATGAAAATTTTGAAAAATAAAAATATTTGTAAAATTGTTAAAAATTACCTTTTGTTGTTTTTCTCAGTAGAATAAGATTTTTGGTTGAAAAAAAATGTTGAAAAAAATTATTACCCCTAAACAAGATCAATTTTGATTGCTTTCAATTTTAGTGGTAATTTTGAAAAAATTCAACTACTTCCACAATTTTCATTATTTTTTATTGTCGAATTTTTTTTACGCTTTTTTCACGATTTTAAACAGTCAATCGTATGGAATTTAAAGAAATTTAATTTTTCCAAAAAATAAATTTTCTAAAATGTCTAAAAAAATTTTTTTTTGAAATTTTAATAATTTATAATAATTTTGGATCCTAAATTATGCCAGAAAAAAAATTGACACTCTTTAACAATAATAACTTCAGTAGGCTGAAATTTCACCGGTCCCTCCCCTTAAATTGAAAACTTGGTAAATAATTAAATTTTAAATTGAAAATTTTGTATAATTATTGGATTTTTAATTGATTTTGAATTAAAATTTCGGGTAATAATTGAATTTTAATTTATTTTGAATTGAAATTTTTAAAAAATAATTCAATTTTATTGTGATATTTTTTTTTTAAATTATAAACAATTGTTAAATTTCATAAAAATTTTAATTGAAAAATAATTTTGATATAATTGAATTTGTGATGTATTTCATTAAAATTATTAAAAATAATTAATTTAGTGAAGAATCATTTTAGTTCAAAATTTGTTAAATAATTGAATTGAAGAAGATCTGAAGAAGATCTACATTTTATACTAAAAAATGTATTTTATTTACATTTTTTTTCAAATGTAAAAAAAAATGTCGCATTTTATTAAAATAAGTCGATAAAAGTCGTATTTTTGAAAAAAGTCGGATAAAGTCGTATAATCCGAGGCCTGTAAACATATAATTTTCATTATTATCATTTAATATGTAATAATATTCTAATAAATTAAATTATTATTGATAATATTAATCTTTAATTTCTTTATAATAAACAATTAAATACTCAATTTGACGCGCATGCGCGCGTTTAATTTTGCTAGTTAATTAAATATTAAAGAATTTAGAAAACTTGCAATTCATTGTGGTTGAATAATTTTTGAAAAAAAAAACCGATAATTTATTTCAATTAGAATAATAAATTGAATTTGAGGAATATTGAAAAAAAAATAATTATAAAATAATTTTTCAGGTATTTCCATGGAATAACGTAAGATTACCTTCATTTGCACATCCAACTAGATACATCATCACTATCCATCCAAACCTTACGACGCTGGAAGTCAAGGGTAATATTATTTTTCTTGAATAAAATTTACTAAATTTTTAAAATATACTTCAGTTTAAATTTTTTTTTAATTTTTAAAATTTTTTTATGTTAAATTTAAATAGTAATATATTGTTTTTAATAGTAAAATTGTTGCAATAAATTGTTTCTCTAATAATGAAATATTTTTCACCAGGGCAAGTCACAATTGAGTTTTTCGTGGATAAAGAGACCAATTTTATCGTCTTCCATAGTAAAAATTTGACAATAAATGAAAAGGTAACAATTTAAATTATTAAAAAATTTATTGTTTGCTTTTTGTGTTTTCTAATTGTTTTTTTTTTAATTCCTATTTTCTAACTAATTTTTATTTATTAAATTTTTAATTGTACTCAAAAAAATAATTATTTTTGCCTTTTAATTTTTAATTCAAAACAATTATTTCCTTATTAGTACAATTGAAAAAGAAAACATGAAAAAAGACAAAAATTCTACTCAAAAAAATCATTTTTTGTTAGCATTTTAATCGCAGAAATAATTATTTCTTCAGTTAAATTAAAAAAACTAAAAGTAAAGATATTAAAATAATGCAAAAAATTATATTGAAGAAATAATGATTTCTTTATTTTTCGTTTTATTTAATTTTTCCATTAAAAGCAATTATTTTTTTTAGTAAAATTATTGAAAATGTGACAATAAATAAAAAACCAAAAAAAAAAAAATGTTTAACTTTTCAATTGATTTACTGAACAAATGTTTGTTTTCCATTTAGTAAAATAAGAAAAGCGTAAAATCTCTATAAAAAGAAAAATTTCTTCAGATGGTCCAAGATCGCAAAGGCCACAGATTAAAAATTGCAAAATTGCTGGAATATCCGAAACATCAGCAGGTTTATTTGGAATTAGAAGAAAGCAAATTTCGAAAGAAGGCAAATTATACAGTTCATCTTAGATTTGTTTCAAAATTGAAAAATGAACTCGAAGGATTTTATTTGAGCAGCTACGTTACTAGCGATGGGGAAAAAAGGTTAGTATGATTAATAAATAATTTTTTTCTTTTTTTTTATATATAAGATTCATAAAAAACAAATTTTGTTCTTTTTTAATAATTTTTTATTTCTTTAAAAATTCAAATATTTAAAAAAAAGTTCCAAATCAAAACTCTAAAATCGAATTGTTGTCAGAAATTGAAAAAAAAACCTTTTAAATTTAAAATTTTCTGCAATTTAATTATTTAAAAAAATATATTATTTAAAATTTTGTAAAAATTAATTATTATTGTCCGAATTTTTTTTCACCATTGAAACTAAAAACTATGCAAAAAATTTAAATTCTAATAAATTGCTTAAATCAGACTTCAAAAAATTTTTAAAATGGAACTTTGAGAATTTTTTTTTTAAATATTTATCTTACTTAATTAAAATGTCTATAGTTCGATTTTGAAATATTTGAAATAAATTTTCTTGATAATATTCTTACAAAATTATTCTTATTACAGGGTTGCCACTAAAATTTTATTTTCTTTTTCCCTGATTTTTCAGTTAGAATTAAAACTTTTTCTCTGATTCTAATGAAAATATTTCAAGAGGTTTTTTATTGTAAAAAAATAAGACAATAATTTTTAAAAGCAAAAGTTTTAATTGAAAATTTCAAAAATTATAATTTTAGTAGCATTTTTAGAAATTTGATATTTTCCCAATACTTTTCATAAAATTCTCTAACTTTTCCCTGATCCGTTGCAACCCTGTATTAAGGAATTAATAAAATAAATTTACTAGTTATTTAATGTAAAATATTTATTAACTAATTAAATTTAATTAAAAATAAAATCGACTTCGACTTTTTTTCGCGCTTTAAAGTCAATCCGAGGTTCTGCATTAAAAAAATAGATATCGAAAATTTATTTTACCCTTTTAATTACATATTTTTAGGTATTTAGCAACAACACATTTTGAGCCAACTTATGCGCGTTCTGCGTTTCCTTGTTTTGATGAGCCACAGTTCAAGGCAAAGTTCAAAGTCTCCATATTCAGAGACAGGTTTCACATAGCTTTGTGTAACATGCCTGTTATGAATACCGAGGATGCTGGATTTTACATGGGAACGGGCCTTGTAAGTCGACAAAATCAAAAAAAAAATTTTTTTTTATTTCTTTATTTTTATCTAAAAAAAAAAAAGTAAAGTAATTAAAAATAATTTTAAATTATATAAAATAATGTATATTTTCATTTTTATAATTCAACTTTTTTAATTTTTATTAAAAAAAAAAAAAGAATAAAATTTTGATATTTTTAATATAAATTTATTTGGATAATTAATTATCCTTGAATAATAAGTTCGCAATTTTAGACGACGTATATTTTAAGGATAATTAATTATCAAAATTTTGAAATATCCATTGTAAACAGTATTAACACACGTCTGATAAAAGAATCAATCTGATTCACAGCTTCGTGATGATTTTCAAGAATCTGTGGAAATGTCAACTTATCTTGTGGCTTTTGTCGTTTGCGATTTCAACAGAATTTCCGAATTGACCAATAGAAATGTTTCCGTTAGTGTTTATGCCGCTGAAGCTATGCTTCCACAGGCAAAATATGCTCTCAATATTGCAGCACGCACTATGGATTATTTCGAATCATTTTTCGGTGTTCACTATCCACTGCCAAAGCAAGGTGAGTGAAGAGAAAAATCTTTTTACGTAAAATAACATCAAAAAGAAATAATTTTGTTAATATTTAAAAAACAAGTTGTAAATTCAGATGTTCATTACATGAACATTTTGCTTCCTCTTTACGATCAGCAAAAAAATTTTCTTCCTCGTAGAGAAAGCATTAACATTGAAATAAATATACAAAAATAATATAATAATATAAACATTAGAGTACCTATACATTTGAGTAAAATTTAAAGAATTAATGGAAGTTAAAAAATCAAAAATTCATATTTTAACCGAAATTTTTAAATATTAATGAAAAATAATATATAATTTATAATTATTTACAATTATATCGATTCGTTTTAATGCAAGAAACACAATTATTTTATATTTAAACTTGAATTTAAATAAATATAAAAATTTTCAACTAAAATGTGTATTTTCTATTTTTTAACTTTCATTAATTTATTAAATTTATCTCAAATGTAAATAATATATAAATAACAATCGATTCGTTTTCATGTAAGGAATACAATTATTTTATCTATAAACTTAAATTTAAATAATCACAAAATTTTATAGCCAAAATGTGAAATTTTGATTTTTTAATTTTCATTAATTCTTTAAATTTAAATTAAAACTATACTTTATATATACTGATCGATTTGTCTTGATGTAAGGAATAGGATTTTATTAATATATAACATTAAATTTTTCTATTTAAAAATTTTTTCGATTTAAAAAAAAATTTTTGGAAAAAAGACGATAAAATTTTTTGGTATTTTTTAAAATCCTTTGGTCAGATTTGAGATATTAATATGATAAATGAGCCTACCAAATTTTATTTAAATCCGTTAAAACCTGTTAAAGTTATCTTCTAAACAAAAAAGGGATCCACACACACACATACATACATCCGGACAATTGATCAGGATCTCATATAACATGTTTCTATAAAGAAAAAAAATTTGTTTCCGCCACTTTGAAAATTTTTACAAACGAAAGGACTACAAAGCTTTCTCCACGAGGAAGCAAAAAAATAAATGTAATAAATATTTACAATTTTCTTGAAGAGTTTGACGAATAATTATAGTCAATGTTTTGTATTATTACAAAACTTGCCTTAATTAATTAGTTGCTATTATTTTAATTTTCGAAGATAACAGATTTTTTGTTAAGAAAAAAAATATTGTTAATCATTTATTCAACTTTTTTTTTAATTTTTAGTCATAATTTATGTTTTGGTAATTTTTTTTTTCCAATTTAATTTACTTATCTAATTTAAAATTATTTCTTTGAAAAATTAAAAATTCAGATTAAAATTGTTTTAATAAAATTTTATAGGAATAATATATATATATATAAATAATTAAAAAATTTCAAATATGAGAAAAAACATGCCTCTTTGTGAAATAACATAAATTTCAACTGGTTTTTCGTCTAAAATCAATGTAGAAATATTATGTAAAATTTTTTGTTGCTGGGAAATAAAATTTTTCCTACGATTTTTATTGGTTATTTTAAATTTCACAGACTTGATAGCCATACCAGACTTTGCAGCGGGTGCAATGGAAAATTGGGGTCTCATAACATATCGAGAGACATCAATTCTTTATGATCCCGATGAAACATCAACAGTGGCACACGAATGGGTGGCTGTAATTGTTGCACACGAACTTGCACATCAGTGGTTTGGCAATTTGGTTACAATGAAATGGTGGAATGATCTTTGGTTAAATGAAGGCGCTGCCAGTTATTTGGAATATAAAGGTGTCAATCATCTTGCACCCGAATGGAGTATGATGGATCAATTTATTTTAGATAAAATACAACCAGCATTGGATTTAGATGGTCTTGCCAGTAGTCATTCGATAAGTGTCACCGTTAAGGATCCCACTGAAATCGAGGCAATTTTCGATACAATCAGTTATAATAAAGGCGCTTCGATACTTTATATGTTGGAAAACTTTTTAAATGAGGATGTTTTGAAAAGTGGACTCAATGAATATTTAAATAATTACGCGTACGGCAATGCGGACACTGGTGACTTTTGGAGTGTCTTCACTAAACATTCGAATAATACTTTTGACGTGAAGGTGAGTTTTATTTTTAATTCTCTTAATTCAAAAAAATTTTGCAAAAAAAAAAAAAAAAACCAAAAGATTTTGGTATTGGATAATTTTATTTATAATAATTCCAGCTGACCTTAAAATTCTTGAAAAGTCTGAATTTTTTTTGAAACTTGAATTTTATAACAAAACTTTGAATTATTATTAAAATTGTCGAAAAGGATATTTATTTTTTAAAATTACTAAAAATGTATCTGTTGAATACACAAACGATTGATATTAAAAGTGAAAATAATTTATTACACTGACAATCGGATTGTTAATATAGAACTAACAAATCTGGTTTTTTGACAAAAAAAAAAAAAAAAATGTTCATTCATTAAAAAAAAACTTTTTTTGGAAATACCTAACATTTATTTATTTTTACAAATAGAACAAGGATCCCAATTTTTTTACCATAAATTTTAAATCTTTTTAGAACTTAAAAATTTTTTCGATTTTTTTCTAATACTTTTTATCTTCTTAAAATCTTTTTATTATTAAAAAATTTTGTTTTTAAAGCAAATTTTCATTTTTTTTTTCAATTGATAAAAATTAAATATTTTTTATTTATTTTCACAAATTGATTAGAAATTTTCCATTTTACCTCAATTTCTCGTTTTATTCTGAAAATTTATAAAATTCTTGTTTTTCTCTTTTTCCACAGTTGTACACATTTTATTCAATTTAATTTCTCTTTATTTTTTAAATAGAATTCTTATGTTTTTTTATTCATTTTCAAATTATTCTTTAAATTCTCTTAATTGGAATTCCTCAAGTTATCTATTTTTTCAGTTTCTTTGACTTTTTATTTTCTTAAACATTTAATTTGATTTTATTTTTCTAAAATTCTCGATTTTTAAAAACATTTTTTCCTAATATATTTATTCTTATTTTTTGAAAATAATAAAATTTATTTATTTAGCATTATACAAACTGGTTTTCAAAATTATCAATTTTCCTGATAAATAATAATCCTTTCATTTTGTGAATTTCTAAAATTCTCCTTTTATTTTAGGAATTTTTAAAATTTATTTATCATTTAAATTTTTAATTCTTAACCTGTTAAATGCAAACTAATTTATTTAAGCTTTAAAAATATATAAAACTTTTAATATTCTTTTATTTCTACTTATTCATATTATATATTTATTGAGAAAAACTAAGAAACAAAACTTACTTTATTATAAATAAAAAATATTTTCATAGTTTCTAGGCCGAAAGTTGATATTGAAAAAAATTATTTTAATTTTTGAAAAGTCATTGATTTTTTTTTTCAAAAATTACTAAACACCCTGCAGTAAAACAATATGTAATTATTGATTAATTTTTACGAGGCCTTTAAACGATATAATAAATGACGGATAAAAAATTAATCCAACAATATGTAATTATATATTTTTTTTATTTAAGACAATAATGGAAACATGGACACAGCAAACTGGATTTCCTCTTATCACTATTTCGAGGGAGGGTAATATTATCACAGCGAGTCAAAAACGTTTTCTTGTATCTCCCCGTGATAATGACACTGCACTTCTTGAACCAAAATCACCGTTTAATTATAAATGGTACGTTCCTCTAAGTTACTACACGGATAAGGATCCAACGAATATCACCAGCATTTGGATGAATATGACAAATGGTATGTTATTTTTAATATATATTCTTGAAAAATTGTCAATTAATTCAAATATTTAAAAAAAAAAAAACTAACACTCATTGATTCGATTTTCCATAGTAGACTAAATTTTATAAATGTAGAATTAACATTAAATTGAATTTTTTCGTTGTAGAATTTTTATTTAAATAAAATTTTATATACAGTGCATTTTTTATAGCTGATTTTCTAATTCATTGATATTTTCATTTAACAGAATTTTCTATATATATATGTATTTAAATCAATTTTTCATATAATATTTAATTTTAATTTAACCGAATTTAACCAATTAGAATTTTTGTAATAATTTTTAAATTTTGTTTGTTTAAATTTAGTGAAATGGAAAATTTGATCTTTAAAAATTCGGGACAAAATAGAAATTATGTTAAATAAGATTGCAGTATTAAAAAAAAAAACAAAAAATATTTTTCAAAAATTCAAAAATTTTAAAAAATTTCAAAAATATTGGAAAAATTGTTTGCCCACAATCGGACTAGGCTTAAAATTTTCCTAAAAGGAAGTAGTTTTTTTTTTTAAATTTTGAAAAAAATTTATCAGTACGTCAATTGAGAAAAATGACTTCTTATCTTTAAAACTTAAAAATTATATTATTATATAATAATAAAATGCTTGGTCTGTTCTTCTGTCCTAACTTGAAGTTGGCCTTTTCTGATTTCACGTGTTTTTTTGAATAGTAATCTTATGACGTGTCATATTTTGACAATTCTTTTTTTCATTTTTACCAAAGTTGTGATTTTCTTTAAAATTCCAAATTCGAAAATTCGTTTACCAACGAAATTTTTTTTAAAGTTGTATATTGATTCAAAAATTGTATACAAATACAACAAATTTATGATGAGAAAAAAGATGCACCAGGAAATTTCGTACAAGATAGTAATTTGAACAAAATTTATTTTTAAAAATTAATTTTTAAGGTACCAGGGGCCAACGAATACCTATTAAATATTAATTATAAAAACACAGGCCTCGAATCAACTTAAACACACAAAAAAAGTCGATTTAGTCGATTTGTATTCCAAAAAAAAGTGGATTTGTTTTTTATTTTAACAAAAATATTTTACAGATTTTTAAATAAAAATTTTTTTTTAATAATAATCCTTTTCGAAGGGTTAAAGTTGAAATTTTTAGAAATAATTAAATTTCAAAAGATATTGTTAATTTACAAATAATTATTAAATTTTACAGAACTAAAAATAATTTATGAAACAATTTTTGGAAAACATTTTTTAAATTTAATTGAATTTTCAAAGATTTAAAATTGAGATTTTTGAAATTAATTGAAACTTTAAGTGTTTTGTAATTAAAATTTTAGATGATTTCACTAAAAATTTATTAGAAAATGCGGACAAAATACAATAATTTGAAAATCATTTTTAATTGAAAAATGGTTTCAGATAGTTAAAATTTCAAAGAATATTATTAAAATAGTTAAAAATAATTGAATTTCCTTAGAGTTATAATTGAAATTATTAAATTTCAAAAAAAAGAATTTCGATGGAAAATTTTAGAAATAATTAAATTTTAGATGCTTTTAAATTCAAATTTTTGAAAATTCATTTAATTTTGAATTCAAATTTTTGAGAATAATGAAATTTTATTTGATTTTAAATTTGGAAAATAATTGAATTTCAGTTCACTTTGAATTGAAAATTTTTGATAATAATTTAATTTAAGTTCATTTTTCATTGAAAATTTGGATAATTAATTCTGAATAGAAATTTTAGAAAATAATTGAATTTTATTTCATTTTAAATTGAAAACTTGGTAAATAATTAAATTTTAAATTGAAAATTTTGTATAATTATTGGATTTTTAATTGATTTTGAATTAAAATTTCGGGTAATAATTGAATTTTAATTTATTTTGAATTGAAATTTTTAAAAAATAATTCAATTTTATTGATATTTTTTTTTTAAATTATAAACAATTGTTAAATTTCATAAAAATTTTAATTGAAAAATAATTTTTATATAATTGAATTTGTGATGTATTTCATTAAAATTATTAAAAATAATTAATTTAGTGAAGAATCATTTTAGTTCAAAATTTGTTAAATAATTGAATTGAAAAAGATCTGAAGAAGATATAAATTTTATACTAAAAAAATGTATTTTATTTACATTTTTTTTCAAATGTAAAAAAAAATGTCGCATTTTATTAAAATAAGTCGATAAAAGTCGTATTTTTGAAAAAAGTCGGATAAAGTCTTATAATCCGAGGCCTGTAAACATATAATTTTCATTATTATCATTTAATATGTAATAATATTCTAATAAATTAAATTATTATTGATAATATTAATCTTTAATTTCTTTATAACAAATAATGAAATACTCAATTTGACGCGCTTGCGCGCGTTTAATTTTGCTAGTTTGATAGTAATATGATTGAAAAAAAATGTTCGTTTTTTTTTTGTTTTGAAAAGAACGTTTAAAAACATACATTTTGAAAAAAAAAACTTTTAAAATTGATGTGCATTTTTAATTAAGTTATGAGCATTCAAAAATTAAAAGTCATTAAAATTCTGAAATTTTGAAAAATCCATATATCTTGAAAACGGCTTGCTAAAAAAATTTGCAAAAAATCATGAAAGCTAGTCTCAATTAGTACGAAAAGAAAAAAAAGTTTCAAAAAAAATTCGGAGATACAATTGCAGATAGACTTCGAATTTGGCGTGGAATATATTATAAATTATTAAAAAATAATTTCTATAAAAATTTCTCTATTTAATTTTTTTTTTTATTAATTTTATTTTAATAATAAAAATCAATAATATTTCAAATAGGCTACAAAAAAAAGGTGTTTCTAATTTTGAGCGTGGTCTATATTTTTTTTCCTTCTCAGTGACCTTTGAGATTGCATCAGAAGTGGAATATATAAAATGCAATGTGAATCAGACGGGATTTTATCGTGTGACCTATCCCGACGAGATGTGGACATCGATAATAAAAACTCTATTAAGCGATCATGTGAGATTTAGTCCAGCAGATCGTGCCAATTTATTGGATGATGTATTTACATTGTGCGAAGCTGGTGAATTAAATGCATCGGTACCATTGGAATTATCATTGTACTTGTTAAATGAACGTGATTATGTGCCTTGGGCGACAGCATTGGGATATTTACATTCGTGGAGGCAAAAATTAAGTGAAAGTTCCGGATACAAAAAGTACATTGCTTTCTTGAAAAAATTACTTGGACCTGTAACCAAATATGTTGGCTGGAGTGATGAGGGATCACATTTGATGAAGTAAATTTTCAATGCGACTTTTTTTTTTTTTTTTTTTTTTTTGAAGAATTTGATTAAATTTACGATGCTGAAGTTTACAAACATTTATATGATAAACATTTTCTGAAGAAATAATTTTTTAAATGAAGAAAAAAATTAAAGATATTTCTTGCAATATTTATTGATTAATAAATTATAAAAAAAATTTCTTTAGATAAAAGATTTTATAATCGATGTTTCGAATATAATTATTTGTCTTAAAAAATAATTTTTTTTTTATCGTTGATCATAAACGTTGCGGCAAAGAAACTAATTTTCAAAGTTATTTTAAATTATTATTTTATTAAGTTAATGATTAAATAATAAATGTGACAATTTAATTTAATTTTAAATCGGACAACTTTTTTTTGGTATAGATTGCTACGAATTGCCATTCTACAGTTTGCAGTGGAACTTCAATTAGATGAAGTTATTCAACCGGCAACAAATTTATTTGAAAATTGGATGTTTAGAGGGACACGAATAAGTCCAAATATTCGTGATGTTGTGTACGCTGCAGGTAAATTTTCTTTTCTTATCTAATTCAAATGTTAATTAAGTAGTATTCCAAAATAATGTTATGAAAAAAATTTGAAAAAATTTTTGAAAAATAATGAATTTTTGAAAGTTTTCTTTGAAAAAAAAAAATAATTTTAATCTAAAAAGTTTTTTTTTTAAATTAATTATTTTCAATAATTTAAAAAAAAAAACCTTCGAAAATTAAATTATTTAAAATATTTTTTAGTTAAAAATTCGTTAAAATTCAATTATTGTCTGAAATTCTTTTAGAAAATTCTTCAACAATTTTAATTTACAAAAATCTTTATTTCAAAATTTTTCTGAAATTTGATTAATTCTAAAAATCTAAATAAACATTCTCCGTCGGAATTTTTGTGGTATCGAATTGAAAATTATCGACTATTTCTTAGCAGAATTTTATAAAGTGGATTTTACAATGAGCCTAATTTTCATATCGAAGAATTTCTATTTTAACTAAATTCTGAGTTAATAGAATTTCTATATAACTGATCTTTTGTATACTAGTAAAATTTTCCTAAAAAAGTTTTTATTTATCAGAATTTATCTTTTATCAAATTTCTATTTATCCGAATGTTTACATAAAACAGTATTTTCATTAACTGAATTCCTATTTAACAAAATTTCTATTTAACAAAACTTTTATTAAAGAAAATTTTTATTTATCAGAATTTTTATTTAACAAAAATTCTACTTAGATGAATTTTCAAGTGAAAGTATTTAATAAAACAACTGTGATAAATAAAAATGATTTTTTATGAAAATGTTTCTAAACATAAATTTTGTTAAAAGGATTTTAAAAGGAAATTTCGTATAAAATTCTGCTAAATAAATATTTGATAATTTTTAATTCGACACGACAAAAATTCCAAAACAGGGGTAATGTAGGGAAAAATCATGCGTTCCTTAATTAAAAAAATATAAAATTTAAAAATCTAAAATTTAAAAATACTAACAAAAAAAAAAAACAAATTGTAGGCATAAAATTTGGTGGACAATCCGAGTGGAACTATTGTTGGGATACTTATCAGAAAACACAAATTCCTAGTGAAAAAAGAGTAATGCTTCGAGCTTTGGGATCGTCGAATGATCCTTGGTTACTTCAAAGATATCTTTTAAAGAGTACTGATCGAGAAAAAGTGAGAGTGCAAGATGTAGAAACAGTGGTTGCTTCAGTTGCAAAAAATGCTGAAGGAAAATTTCTCGCATGGAGACATTTGAAGGCATTTTGGCCACAAGTTCATTCAACATTTGGCAATGGCTCCTTATCGATAGGAGGATTAATTCATATTGTCACTTCTGAATTTTTCACTCAATACGATTACAAGGAGGTGATTATTATTTTACACATTTTATTTTTGTTTAATTATTTGACTTTAATTTATTTAAAAATTTTTAATTAAATACATGACATAATAAGTTATGCAAAAAAAAAAAAAAATTTTTTTTATAGTAAATAATAAAACATATTTTATTAATATATTAATAAAAATTGAATATTTTAGGTCTCAGAATTTTTTAAAAATAGAGACGTGGGAAGCGGTCAACGAATGTTGGAACAAAGTTTGGAAAAAATAAGATTTAATATTCATTGGGTGAAAAATAATGCAGAAGTGATTGACGAGTGGCTAACGAATTATTTAAAATCAAAGAAAAGTTAAAATTGGGATTTCGAAAAAAAAGAAGAAGAAGAAGAAAAAGAAGAAATAAAGACGAGAAGTGAATTCTGACGAATTCCAATAAAAAACTACTTCAGAATTGAATAATTCAGTTCGAAGTCTGCAGCATCGTTTCTTCGACGTCACAGAAGGATATTCAGCTCTCAGGAAGAAAGAAAAATGACAGTTCCAGAAAAAAGGTTTGAAATCTACATTAAAAAAAAAAAAAAAAAAAAAAAAAAAAAAAAATATTTTGAAAATAAGTTCCCGAAAGTCACGAAATATGGTAAGAAACAAACAAATTCCTTCCAAAAAAAAAAAAAAACACGTTAATTTATGGAATTTGCGCTATTTTCAAATGAAGGTTATAAATAATATTGAAAAGAAAACACAATGATTGAGAAGAAGAGAAAAAGAGTGAGTGAAAGGCACTTTTCTTAATATAATGAAAAAAAATGAGGGTAAAGGGTTGTGAACACTGGCAGAAAAAGGTTTTGTTAATGAAATTTAATTTTTTTTTCGAAAATTAGAATTAACTATGTTTTATTTATTATTACTACTTTACGTAGGATTATTAGATTGTGATAATTACAAAGTAAAAAATGAAGAAGAAGATCCATGACAAATAATAACAATGAGATAAGATAATGGGATATTGTAAAAGTAAGGTATAAGATTAAGGAGCAAAGAAAGTAGGATAAAAATAGAATAGATTAGAGACTGATAAAGTAAGATATTGATTATTATCAAAAAAAAAAAACTTTGCGTGATTCCCAATCAGAATTATCAGAATCGCATTGCTTCCCTTTCATTTTAATTTTCTCACATTTTAAATGATCCAATTTTACAAATATTTTTTTCTTTATAAACCAATTTTTTTTCCTTTTATATTAAAAAAAAAATTTCTCTAAGCATTAATTGCAATTAAATATAATATCAATTCTAAATTATATTTAATTCTAAATCTATCTAAATTGTAATAATATCAAATAGAATTTATTGAAATATCAAAATTTTTATTAAATTTTATCATTCAAATATCAAATTATCATTAAAATTAATTAATAAAAATTAGTTTTTTCAAGTAATTAATATTAGAATTATTCTATTATTAACTATTATTATTAATTCTAATATTTTTCAATAAAATATCAGCGAAATATCATTAACATTTCCTTTTTGCGAAAAAAAAAGATTGCCAGAATAAAAGAAAAATGTATGAAAACTCAAAAAAAAAAAAAAAAAAAAAAAAAAAAAAAAAAATGAAAAGAACGTTTTGCGTAAAAAAGTATCATATCAAAGTAAATATTCCGTGCATAATCACCGGAAACTCATCTGCGGCCAAAAAGGAAACAAGACGATCGATGGGATTAATAATTAGAATAATTATTCAATTTTTTTTTCTTTTTTTTTTATTATTATTAACTATTTAAAAAAATGGGAAATTAAATTGCTATGCGGATTTGTTTAAATGTCGTGTGCCATGTGTTCATGTTGCTGACAAAAAAAAAACAGAAAAAAAAAAATTCGCACGATTCGCGGGTTACGTATTGTGCGATATTTAGCGTATTATAAAAGACGCATGAATAAGCTTTGAAATTAATTTTGTTAGAATTTTTATTCGACAGAATTTCATTTTCTATAATTTATTTTTAGATGAATTTTAATTTCTTTGAATTATTATTATTTTCATAGGAATTCCATTAAAATGAATTTAGATTACAGAATTGTTACTTAAACGAATTTTCATTTTACAGAATTTTTATTTTCATCGAATTTGAATTTGACAGAATTTCTTTTTTAACTTTACCGAATTTTTAGAACCAAAATTTTTTTTGGTAGAATTTTTATTTTACAGAAGGAATATTAGTTAATTTTTAAATCAGTGGACAAATTTTTCTGACAAATATTTTTTCGAACAAGTGGAAGTTCTGTAAAATAAAAATTTATCGTTTTAAAAATTCTGTGAGAAAAAAATTCTTTCTAATATTGTTTCTGTAAAATAAAAATTTCTTTTAAATATAAATAAAATTCTCCATATAAATTAAATTTTTTTTTTATAATAAAAATTAGAGCAAATAATTATTCTGTTGAATTCAAAATGGATGAAATAAAAATTATGTAAAATAAAAATTTTTTTAAGTAACAATTCTCTTCATGTATAAATTCGGTTAAATATAGAGTTTCCATTAAATAATAATTCGAAGAAATAAAAATTTGGCTAAAAATAAATTCTAAAAAATGAAATTTTTGTCAAATTAAAATTTTTAGAAATTAATTTTACAGCTCATTTATGCGTCTCTATTATAATATAATTTTTTTTTCCCCGTGTGACGTAGGCATAATAGAATAAATAAATATATAGAGAATCGGAATATTTTACTATGGGAAGTCGTGAGTATTATAACTATATACATATAGGTGTAAAGTATACGTAAACTCGTGACGCTTCGAATGGTGCGTGTAATAATTAGTAGATTATATAAGTATTTTTCTCATTAGGGAATCCCAAAAAAAAAAAAAAAAAAAAAAAAATGCGAATATAAAATAATTTTTTTGAAAAAATAATCAAAGCACATTTGCACTTTAAAAAAAAGTAGTTATTTTTCTACATCACATACGCACACATACAAAAATCAATTAAAGTTATTTCTTTTATATTAAGAAATATAAATTTTGTCTCATTATTTTAAATACCCCAGAATTAAGTGATAATTTATTAATTACCTGCCATTGATATTTGTTATTAACATTAATTATAGTTAATAATAATTATAATTAGTTATTGTCAATTATTAATATTAATTATATTATTTATTTATTAAAAGAAATAAAAGAGGCTCATGCTTTTTAAATACAGGCTGTAATAACAAAATAATAATTAATAGTAATTATAATAATTTATCATTAATGAATTTTTTTATTATAAATAAAATTTTTTCAGTATTAATATTAATTGATTAAATAATTAAAAGTTAATTAATGATTAAAAAAAACATATATATACATTTTTACATAAAAATATAGTATGTCTAAATGTTTTGAAATATAATTAAAATTTTTTTTTTTTTTTTTTTTTTTGTCAATTGATTTTTTTTGGGAGACTCTAATGTTAGCAATTAATATACACGATATTATAAAATTCCAAATAATTGACATTTTGCGGAAAAAAAAATTGAAAAAAAATTTTCTATTAAATTTACTAAAAAATTTTGATTAAAAATACCATCTAAACAATTTACAATATATTTAAACAAATTTTCATTACTATTGAAACACTTCTTTTTTTTCATACTGCATGAAACGAGTAATTTAGTAGAATCGGAAAATGAATAAATTGTGTTTAAAAAGAAATTCCTTTAAATTAAAAATTTTTGACTAAAAAGACATTTTTTTTCTATTTTATATAACTATGATGAAAAATAATTTTCGAGTGAGTGATCGTTGTTTAAAGCGCCTAAATCCTATTATGTATTATAATATACTCATAGTGAGTACAAATCTGTGTCAGGTTCAAGTGAAATGAATCCATATTATATGAGAATGAATTTCTATTTATAAATTTTTCATTATAAATGAACACTTTTATCGTTCAATGATTTTTTTTTCTTTTCTCTCTAATTCAAAATTTGAAAAAATGAAAAAAAAACAACTCTTTTTCTCCTTTTTGAGACTCTTTTTATGACAATTTTTATGAATCTTTTTTAGAAACTATTGAAAATTTTGACATTTTATATAATAATAATAATAATAATTATAACACAAAAATTATATTAAATACAAGAAATTCTCATTTGAATCTTGCAGATATTGTGAATAAATTCCTGCCTCTTGAGATATAAAAGACATTTTTCAGGACAAAACAAAAATTTATTACAAAAGTTCTGAATAATTCAAATTCGTATTTTTACGAAATTTTTTTTTAATTATGAAACAATGAACGAAAGAAAAGTTTAAAAAATTATAAGTACTATAACTTTCCCACACACATAAAATTGCTTTCATCTTTGATTTTTTTTTCCCAGATGTTTTTCAGTTCATTGGCAAATATTTTTTAAGAAAAATCTTTTAATTTTCACACACAGAGCAAAAAAAAAAAAAATATTTGTCTGAAAGCTATTATAAATATTTATTTGTTTCAAATAAATTTTATTTTGATAGAAATAAAATTTACTTGATTGAAATACAAATTTTATTTGGCACTGAATAAATTTTATTTGTGCTAAATAAAATTTTTTATACATAAAATTAAAAACAAAATATTATTAGGCTCTGGAGACAAATATATATTTTTATTTGATTCAAATAAATATTATTGTCTCAAAATAAACGCAAATAAAAAATTTCTCTGTGTGTTGAATTACTGACAAATAATAATAATTCAATGAAATAAAAATTCGGCTAAAAGTAAATTTTTAGAAAATGAAATTCTGTAAAATAAAAATTCTAACAATTTTAGAAAATATTATTTTTTTCAGAGTCAAATAACTTTTTTTTTTGTTTTAAATAAACAAAAAAATTGATTTAGGATAAATTAAAATGAAAAATTTTTTAAATTAATTTTTAAAATTAGAATAAAATTTTTATTTAATCCAAATAAAATTTATTTGAAAGAAAATAATTATATTTATTCGGCTCTGAGATAAATATATCTTTTTTCTGGGTGTATTTAAGCGAAATTTTTTTTATAAAAAAAATTTTATTTAAACTCTCAAATAAATGCAAATAAGTTTTTATTTTCTCTGAGTATACTTGCTGCGGGTTATAAGATATCAATAAATTTTTTTCCCCAAATAAAATCGCGTGCCTATTCGGCGATTTAGTGAGCACAGAAAAAACAAGGGATTAAATTAGTAGAATTAGGACAAATTTTGTGTGAAAATTATAATTTATTTAAAATTCGTATGTACAATGGGTTATTATTTTAATTTAATTAAAAATTAAGCCAGATAAAAATTGTATCAAATAAGAATCATAGATTAAATTAATTTTAAATCAAATAAAAAAAAAATCGAATAAAAATAATTGAACTGTTTTAAATTTGAAGATAAATTTCTGCGCCTCTTCTAAAAATTTTATTTATTTATTTATTTATTATGAGAAAATTAAATTTCAGAAAAAAATGTGACATTACTCAAAAAAATGAAGAACATATTTTTTTTAGACTTTGGATCCTTAATTTTTTCTGTGAAAAAATTTC